TGATGCTGCCTTACAAGGTCACCGAAGGCTCCATGTGACGCAGTACCTCGCAGGGAACCTGTACATGATGTTGAGCCTGTGATCACCGTGAGATATATACAGACTCTATTACTAATCTTGCTACCTACCTTCGAGAGATTGGAGATGAGTAGCCTCGCTTTCAGCCGAGTTTTGCACTAGTGGTACCGTTGTGCGATCCCCGAAGTGATGCTTGAGGCATACCTTGACATTGTTGCGGATATTCTCGTCGCGCAGATGCAAACGAAGCTCTGCAAGGCTCATGAGGGTGGGCAGACCAAGCCGCGTTCGGAGGTCTGTCACGATTAATCCGAGTGCACTGAAAAGAATCCTCACGCTGTTCATTTGCAACACGGCGCTGGAAGCAAGGTTTGCACCAAATCTTAACCTTATCACCGTAGAGAGCCTTCGCGTCGTTCTCGATGTAGCCTGGGTGGTCATAGAAGTGCGTCTGGTACCAGCCTCGCCGGCTGAGGAATGCTGAGTTAGTGGTCTGACGAGCCTCAGTATATGCAGCCATTATGGAGAGAGGCAAAAGATGAACATTGGCTACAATATCTACACAGGTACATGAAGGAGCAAGCAAGCTAAGACATATCGATGAAACGAGTGCGAGACTTGCTGCAATATGAGAGAGACGTCCCAATTTGTCAATTGGATGCGTGCGCGATAGGGCATCCTCCAATCATATCACGTCCATGGGCGTCGGAGTCAGGTGATGGTTCTGCGGGAAAGTTAACGTCGACTTTTGTGCACAAGATGACATCGTCATCTGTTGACAAGTCGACGATAGTCGACGTCGACCGGATGTCTACCGGCACATCGCTGGTCCACTGGACTCCGACTGCTTGGTCGAGGGTTGGGCACAATTTTGAAATGAACCTGATCAGGAGTCTTTCGCGCCGCTCGAGTCTTTGTCATGAAGCCACTCAGCAATGGAAGAGAAACATGTGCGTTCCATACTGACAAGGTGGATTCTGGCGTGGATTGCCATGTCCTCGCGCCCGGCAGAATGTATCGCAGGGACCGTATGGCGTCATCGATAGCACTTCCGAGCGCTACAACTGATTCTCGCGCACCCTCCCCGCTCCCGCCCCTCCGCGAGAATTTCTTCCGTTCTCACCAAGCAAATCCTCTCGAATGCTCTCTCTCTCTGACAAAGCATGGCACGCAGCGGCTGACCACAGCTAGCGGCGGCGGCCGTGGGGACGCCCCACTATATAGGACAACTTCACGCAAGCTCCTTTGAACATATCACACCCACTCAGACACTCGCCTTCCCTCCCCACTCCAGTACTACAGCGTTCTGAACGATGTCGATCCCACAAAAGACACGCGAGTACCGCCTGCCCAAGGTCGACGGCTTCCATAACCTTACCTTGACGGAGGCGCCGTTACCGAAGCTGAAGTCGACCGAGGTGCTTCTGAAGGTCCATGCCGTCTCCCTCCAGGTTCGTCTTCCGCGTACAACATGCATATGTTGGAGCGCTTCTGAACCTCTATGTAGTATCGCGACCTAATCGTGGCCAAGGGCACGTACCCGCTCGGCCAGAAGGAGAACCCCGTCCCAGGCTCCGACATGGCCGGCGAGATCGTCGCCATCGGGGAGGACGTCAAGGGATGGAAGGTCGGCGAGCGCGTGTCGCCCAACTTCGCGGTCGACCACGTCTTCGGGGACCCGACGGCGGAGATCAAGGCGACCGGCTTGGGCGCGCCGATCGACGGAGTGTTGACCGAGTACAAGATCGTTCCTGCACACGTACGTCCAGAGCTCTCGCATCTCGCTCGCTTCGCGATGGGGATCGCTGAAGCGTTGCACTGCGTTCTTCGCTTCGTTAGTCTCTCGTGCGCATCCCTGAACATCTGAGCTACGAGGAGGCGTCAACCCTTCCATGTGCCGCCCTCACCGCCTACAATGCCCTCCTCGGTGGCAATCCCGTCTTGAAGGGCGGCGACTTCGTCCTGGTCCAAGGTACCGGAGGCGTCTCGATCTTCGGTCTGCAAATCGCCGTCGCCTCGGGTGCTACCGTCATCGCCACGTCGTCCTCGGACAAGAAGCTCGAGACGGCGAAGAAGCTCGGCGCCAAGTACGTGATCAACTACAAGAAGACGCCGAACTGGGAGGAGGAGGTCCTCAAGATCACGAACGGCCGCGGCGTCGACCACGTCCTCGAGGTCGGTGGCCCGGGTACGATCCTCAAGTCCGTGGAGGCGGTGAGGTACGCCGGCAATGTGGCCGTCATCGGCTTCGTGGCAGGGGTACGTGAAGATCTGCTTGTGCTTCAAGAGTCTTCGGAAGACTGATGTGCTTGGACTCGTGCAGCAAGCGGACACCAGTCAGTTGCCCTTGCTCGTACTCGGCAAGGCTATCAACATGCGCGGCGTCCTCATCGGCTCTCGTCAACAGTGCGTATATACCTGGCGAACGCTGGTGAGCGTGGGCTGACGATGACTGATTGACATACAGGTTCGAAGAGATGAATCGGCTGATCGAGGCGGTCAAGCTGAAGCCTGTTGTGGACAAGGTTTTCAACTTCGAGCATGCCCGGGACGCTTATGAGTACCAGGACAGTCAGCAGCACGTCGGGAAGGTTGTCATCAAGGTGTCTAAAGACTAAGGAGTTCGACGGTACCGCATGTATGTACTTGTACGCAGTTGAAACGCACGTTTGTCGGCAGCTACCTCCTTGATGAATGCTGCGTCGTCATCGTGGAGCTAGTAGAGGTTAGTCAGTCCGCAAGCTCTGCCTTCCGGTTCGGGGTGATATTGAAGCATGTCCGAACCCGCTCTGCAGAAACTGTTCACGACGAGAGTGGATCATGTTCGCAACGAGGCAGCGTTCCAACATGAATGTAGAAGACTCGAGCTGACATCTGGGCCCATTCTCGGGTTGACACACGGGAATACTAGGCCGTGGTCACCCCACGATGACGTGAGATCGGAGGCATGGTGGTTGTACAAGACGTGATAATTATCTATCTTTCATCATCCATGCACCCGAAGACCCGTCCATAGGTACCTCGCGTACATACCGTGCTGGTTTTTTTCGAATGAGAGGCCCTGATGTCTCGTGGCCTACGCAACAGGGTGGGCTAGGCTATTTGCACCGTCGCCCTCACCTGTACTTCCCCTTTCCGTATATTCCAATATGGGGTAAACAAAAAGTGAATGGTTAGAGCCTTTAACATGCTAGATTTGTCGAATGAGAGTACGCAACACAGCTCCGAAAATTCCATGTAGGGTCTATTTACTTTAGTGTAGATGTTTGCTTAGGCCCTGGTCGGCGGTAATGGCAGCTGCGCCACAATGGTAGCAAGGACCGCAGCGGACCTCATGTGCCACCCGGGTAGACGTATGTACACTGCACGCTATACTCGGGCAGGACGGAAAACGATGGTATTGGGCGCGCGCTACGGAAGCTGCGCGGGACCACCGAGTCCGTGTCGCCACCGCTCTCTCGCGCGACCGACGTGGGCCGAGTCGAGAACATCGAGACCGTTGAGTCCAGCGAGTCTGGCGGACTCCGCCGGACTCCGGGGATCACATGATCTGGCCAAGCAAGGCACTGCTGATTGCCGCTAGATCCCCTTGGCGCCTATTGCGAATTTCTTGTGCCAGCGCAAAGGTCGGCTTCACGGTGCGTGTACTAGGTCTCGACTGAAGCTATCCTCCGGATGCAAGTCGAGAGCATAGAACTGAGCGAGAGAAATCTCAATAATATAGGAGAATACGCCCCAGAATGCGAAGACGTTGTAATACTTGTATACACAGAAGCTGCACCCCGGCTTTCCAGTACTTATAGTCACGTCATATCGTTTACGGAAAATATGAGACTTGTGCGCTCCTCATGGCATGAACCCTGCCACTGGCGGATGTAAGTCAGCTCGAAGAAACGGCTTCCGTCATCCTCAATTGGTAGTAGGTTATTGTACATTATATATGTTTAGTGCAATC